GAGGACCGCAGCCTGAGTCACGTCCACACCCCCACGGGTCAAAGCCCCCAGACACACGGCAGCAATGGCCGCCAGGAAGCCCACCACTGTAGCCTGGACCTGGGTAAGAAGGACAGACCGTTCGTTGATCCATAGCATACAGTTTATTTCGTTATATGCAAACGTTTGGAGTAACGGATTACATGTAACGGGATTACGTAAAAAGTAACTGTATTCCCTTACAGTTGCATATCTGTTTGCACCTCGACATATTGATCTATTATTACAACAAGGAGTATTTTATTACACAGTACAGCATTCAATTACCTGCATTACCACTCATTGATCCATAGCATACAGTTTATATATTGTTATATGCAGGTTTGGGGAGTAACAGATTACATGGATTACGTAATTAGGATACAAAAAAAATTCCCTTACAGTTACATATCTGTTTGCATCTCATAATAATAATAATAATAATACATTTATTTTGGGGGGCGCCTTTCATAACACCCAAGGACAACTTACAGGGTTACAGATTTACATTTACAATTTTACCTTACAAATTAAAACAGTGGATTTAGTGAAGTATCAGCCGGGGTAAAACAAACAACAGGACATGGACTACAGAAGGACACAAAGGGACACAGGGTACAGATTATAAAGAAAATGCCAGTTTGAACAGCTGGGTTTTGAGTTGGGTTTTGAATGTTGTTATGGAATCAGACTGTCGGATGTGTCGAGGCAGGGAGCTCCAGAGTCTGGGAGCCGAGCAGCTGAAAGCTCGAGCACCCATGGTTTTGAGGCGAGAGCTTGGTATCATATATGTATCTATTATACAACCAGCAGTATTAGCAGTACTATAGCAGACAGTACAGTATTTCAATTTACATTAAGCTTATCTTATTCTATTTACTTGTAGATACTATAACTTCTCCTGCATTACCTGCACAATAGTCTTGCATCATTCTCTTGTACTATTTTTATAGTTTTTTTATTTGTTTCATGTCTTATATATTTATGTTTTCATAACTACACTGTGCATATGACAATAAACCCCTTTGAACTTTGATATCTCCATTTGGAAAACAATCTGTTATCATGAGTGTAATTGTCTGAGAGGAAAAGTGAAGTTCGAGGACGATGTTATCGCACCGGCAAACCTTCCTGAATTAAATTGAATTGTCTAGAAGCCAGCAGAGTGTGTGTGTGTGTGTGTGTGTGTGTGTGTGTGTGTGTGTGTGTGTGTGTGTGTGTGTGTGTGTGTGTGTGTGTGTGTGTGTGTGTGTGTGTGTGTGTGTGTGTGTGTGTGTGTGTGTGTGTGTGTGTGTCACCTGAATGAGAGCCAGGTTACAGAGCACCATCCTCCACTGCTGCTGAGCCTCGTCCAGCTGCCCAGTGTTCGCCTGCGAATACAAACAGGTTCACGTAATCACAAGTTCACCGTGCACATTGAACTCTCACTACTTCAACATCATAGCACAATTACCCTGACAAATGCCCTGATTGGTCGAGAGCAGTGTTGGGACAAAGTAACCTGTTACTGTAACGAATTTTTTTTGGGCAGTAACTAGTACTCTAACGCATTACTTTTTAAATTCAGTAACTCCGTTACCGTTACTACATGGTGCGTTACTCCGTTACTGCGTTAGTTTTTTTATATAGTCAACAGCCAGGCGAACAGAGATGAGAACTGTACCTAAGTACTTGAGTAAATGTACTTAGATACTTCCTGTGTCACATGCGGAGACGGGCTGTGGGCGTGTTTGTGTTGTTTACTAACAAGACTATCATGGCGGCGGCGGCGGAGCTCAAGTCTAGTTTCTCCACCTGGAGATATTCTCACTATTTCACTTTTGTCGAGCACAAAGAAAATAACGTTTCTGTTAAATGTAATTTGTGTCTTGGCGGGTCAAAGATCCTATCTACTGCCCAAACCAGTCATTCAAATCTCTTAAAACATCTGCAAAAACAACATGCTGGGACGAAGCTAGTAGCTAAGACCACAGAGACTCAGCCGACGCCACTCCACCTCCACCTAAGCAACAGCGGCTGGATTTTAACCGAGGGACTGCTGGCCAGGGAAAAGTCGATAAAGCCATTGCACGGTATGTTGTAGAACACATGCAGGCTATTGCTACAGTGGAGTCACCCGCTTTCAGGGAGCTAGTTAGCATGATAGCATGTCCGGGCGGCACACGGCATATGGGACGGAAAACTTTTTCTAACTACCTGGAGAAAGAATATACAAAAATGGAAAGCCAGCTAATATCGATGCAATCCAGATTGCATATAATGCATGTCAAGTTGATCAACAGATTGTATTATTATCCAATGCAATAACAGTACTCAAATGAAGGCTATAAGGGCATTAATGGGAGCCATTTTTGTAACTAACAAAAACGTTACTTTTCACAGTAACGCATTACTTTTTTTGTACGTAACTAGTAAAGTAACTGAGTTACTTTTGACATGAAGTAACTAGTAATGGTAACTAGTTACTGGTTTTCAGTAACTAGCACAACACTGGTCGAGAGTGTACATCGCAATTATCACTGAGGATGTGATCAGGGGGTTTCTCGCTGAGGATGAAATGTTACCAATAGATGTGGAAGTTACATCACTAGCTCCCTAAATCTTATGTTTTTCCAATGTAATCTTTTGGGAAGGTGTTTATTGTAAATAGCACGCCCCTTCTCAAGGACATTTTGCGTGACATGTCTATGCCAATTTCACAGTGACTTGCTTTCTTTCCATTTTTGTTATATTTCAAAGCGAGCAATATTAGACTCTCACAGCAACCTTCTTAGACTTAATGGAGACATATCCGAAATATGTCTCGTTTTAGGCAATACCTGCTTCTTTCTCTAGCATTTAGCGACACAGCCTCTGCTCGAACGAACTCTGAAGTCTCCCGCACTGCTCTTTTTACCAAGAGAAAGCCGGTAATGCAACGTTCCATCAGCAAAACTTAACCAGTTATGTTTCTTGCAGAGAAGCAGGCTCCATAAGGCCTCTGACACATGGCATGTTTAGTCCCATCGTTATCTGAAGGTTTACTATCTTGCTTTAAGCATATTCAGAAGTCAGAAGGGGGTCATCTCTTAACGCTGCCAATGGAGATCCTTAGAAAAACAGGCGCCATCTTATCTCTATATACTATGCTGACCAAACCCCGAGGTCAAATGCCTGCTGTCAGAATGCGAGATGCAATAGGAAGACGCTCGTTAAATAATTGTCTATTAGAAGGGGTGGGTCAAATGCCACATCTCGAGTGAAACTGAAAGTCAACTGTTGACTGTACATCGACTATTTAACTTACGTACGTAACTTAATTGACGTAACAAACGTAATCATTTCAAACCAATCACAATGTTTTCCTAAACATAGCCAAGTTGCTTTGTTGCCTCGACATAACCAAGTCGTTTTCTTTTTATTCACAACGTTATTCAAGTGTTTTGAAAAGCGACCAAATACATTTGAAAAGATTGGAATAAAAAACGGCCATTAAATTAAGTAAGAAAACAACATTAAATCAACAAGGACTCTCTTTGTTTCAAAACGAAAATGCAAAATGACGAAATGTGCATGTATTGAATATGATAGTTTCGTTTTGCATTTGAAACCGTTGTTATCATCTCCTCCTGCGTGCCGGTGTGTGTTCTGTGAGTGTGTTTCCACTCACTGCTGTTGACAGTCTGGATGCCAATGTCATCTCCAGATTCCCCTTCAGCCCGACCAGCGCCGGCACCAAGATAAACACCTCGGAGATCTCCCTGAACACCTCCCAGTGCTGAAAGACACCACCGGGGGCTTTTAGTGCACTTCCTGTGCCATATGAGCTTGTTTAAATACGTCACAGTGAAACTAAACTCAATAACAATTATTTAATATATTCTTTAAACCTGAAACAATGGAGGTCAATGGTTCTAGTACAATACAGTTTTGCTGGTGACACCCACCACGACGAACCTTCCAAGACAACCTATTTTTCAATCATTTTCAAACCCATAGCATTGTGATTAAACATGAACACAGAATTTTTCAGTAGCTTTTTTACTGGTTTGAAGTTAATAAAAAGGCAAGCGTTGTACTCTTAATTGTTGCCTAGTATTTAGTCTTGAACATTAATGCTATCGAGGGAAAAAACAGGGGGTTTGAGACACAGTCCCTATCATAGATGTTCACATGATCCAAAAGGCTTAACACTCCCAAGCAGCAGTTTTAAGCAGTTCTGATTGATTCGATAACTACTTCCTTATATCTCTTATACAATTTGATCTGTCTGAGGTATTTCCAAGAGGTTAGAAGTGTCTGCACAGATACAGTATAAGTCATTACATTCAATTATTAGATAGTAGGTGTTTCGAATCATATCAAACCTTAGCACAAAAAGCAAAAAAAGATGCCTTATACCAGTACAATCCGTACAGTTATCTCTCATGCACTTTGCCACACTTTTTTCTCCTTACTTGCACTCCATCCATGACTATCCCGGCGGCCACCATGCCCAGCCCGGACACCAGGTAGGGCAGCAGGATCTGGGCTGTGATGCTCCACGAGCTCTTGGACAGTAAACCGTGTGCAGAGCGGGTCTGTTTACACCTGAAGCCCCTCAGCTTCTTCCCCTGGAAACGCAGCTCCAGAGAGATGGGTCACCACCATGGCTGAACCCATTACCCCATCACTGCCTATTTTGTAGTCTCCAGTAAGGAAGTACAACTTTTCTGTGCCTAGAATTAGGGCTCCTGGAAAGTGGAAACGCGGACAAGACGTCGATTTTTCTTTCTTTTTTTGAGTCACAGCCGATGGTTTCTTGCAGAAGTTTGATATGAAAACGCAACCGGCTTGTTTTGCCCTTCAGATGTCACTCCAGCACTGATTTTCGAAATGGTGGACTAATCAGAGGAAGCTGCTTTCATCCACTTCAAATAAAACACACACACACACACACACACATTAAGACACACACACACATGGGTCCACTTGACAGCAGGTTTGTGAGGCCTCTTCTGACACTCTGCTACTGACAGACCTCCACACACACACACACATACAGACACACACACAGACACACACACACACACACACACACACACACACACACACTACAGCCACACACACACTTATCCCCCTCTTCATGCCTCGCTCTTCAGCAGCCGGGCGGCCGAGGTGGATCTCTGGAAGCCGGCTCTCTCTCGGGGTCTGAGGAGTTTCCAGGTCCTGTGGGATAAGGACATCCAGAAGGCCAGAAGCTTCTTCTCAGCCCTGCTGTGCTGCCAATCATTGTCCTCCTTTTCTCTCCACGCCATCTTCTCTTTCTCCTCGCCACTGTGGTAATGCTCTTGGCGTTGAGGGCTCTGAAGCTCGTTCCTCATTTTGATCAGAGGATGTCCTTCCAAGATTGTGTTAAGGGACTCTGTGATGATGGACGGTTCCCTCTGATTTCCAGATGTGTCGTGACGGCGCTCTGTGATGGACGATGCTGGTGATTCAGTTGTTCCTCTTTTCTCCTGGTGAGATCACTTCAGAGCTTACTGCAGTTTCACTCTCCCTCCTCTTCGAAAGCTCCTCCTCTCAATGTCCGCCACTAAATGGGGGTGACGCACTGAGCAGCAGCAGGTGTCGTACCTGCCATTAAAACGTGGCGATGCTGCTGCAAAGGACACAGTGTTTCCTCTGGGATTGGAGGGAGGAAAGACACTTACTTTCATCCGAGTTCATTACGTCATTTGTCTGTTTTTGTCATATTCAAATATCTGCAAAGAAAATCAATACCCCTTAACACCTGTACTCTTATTAAGGTGTATAAGGCAGACACATGAAGTACTGACACTTTGTTCTAGTTGTTGACCCCCTTGTTCACATAAACCTGTACAGAATGTATAGTAGGAACATGTCCTTACACACACACACACACACACACACACACACACACACAAGGACGGTGACTCAGCTGAAAAGTGTCCTTGAGACATGACTTGGATGAAGTGCTGCACTCTCTGCAGCTCCCCCTCCTGCCCTCTGGCTGTCATTTCAATTGTGAAGCAACAGCTGCTAAACGACTGAGGGGGTTTCTGGTGTTTGAACACATTGAGAGGATTCTTTCCTCTTCTTTAAGAGCACCTGCTGTCACCTTTTAAAGAGAACAAAAAACAGCTAAAGAAACAGATTGAGAGGTGATGACAGGCAGGCAGTCATGGCTCTGCAGTGCTAATAACTTTGTTTTATTATCGGACCTTTCCTGACCGTTCGTGTCATGACTGCATTGGCCTCGGCTCAACTACAGTAGTAGCTACAGCTTCTGTCAACACACCTGAATATAAGTGATGATTCAATGCAGCAGTGAGAAGTCAATCAGATTTGCCTTCTGTATCATTGTGAGCCTAATTTTTCATCAGTGCATAATGCAGTGTGCAATATTAAAGAAGTAAGTAATGATAACATTATAAATTGTGTGTGTATTTACACTATACTTAAGATCACTATGCACTTTACTAATGTTTTGCACTTCTGGTTGAATGTAAACTACATTTCGTTGTCTTAGTACTTATACTAATAAACAAAAAGTGAAATCTTAATCTAAATAAAATAGTAAATTGTGTAAAATATATGACTTTTTCGGTTGTAGGACTCATTCCTGTAGCAATTTACAGCAAAGTACTATTTCATCTTATTGTATTAATAGTAAATCAGATCATTTCTAAATGCCTTGCTCTATAATGTCCCCTTTTTTACATAACCTAGATTTATCCCGACAGCTTTTGTCAAAGTAATTCTGAACCAACTCTTTGGCTGCTGATAATAAACACAGTAGGCTCCACAGACATAGTGGTGGTTGCATACTAAGCCTAAACTAACCTGTACACTCATGTCTAGCTAAACCTTATACATGTGTTTGTTCCCATGGGGCAGGGTCACTTTTAAAGGTCAAAGTGACCCTTAAACCCAATCCTCCACCAGCCCAATCTGTTCACATCAGAGACACATGGAGAGAGGAATACATGGATGGACAGATTAGGTTACTTTTCCTGGTATCTCCTGCTAAATGATGAACCATCCAGATCTCTCAGGTCTTCTGGTCAGCTTTCTGTCCCCAGAGTCAGAACTAAACATGGAGAAGTTCATTATGCTCCAAACATCTGGAACAAACTCCCAGAAACCTGCAGGTCGGCTGCAACTCTGACTACTTTTAAATCCAGGCTGAAGACTTTTCTTTTTGTCGCTGCTTTTAATTGAACTATTCACATCTTACACTGCACTGTAACTTTTATCCATGTACCTGTTATTCATGTTTTATTATCTTTGCTTTTGAATGAGTGTTTTTAAATGCCATTTTATAATAAGTTTCTTAATGCTCTTAATGTCTTTCATTTTTGTAAAGCACTTTGAATTGCCTTGTGTTTAAAGGTGCCATATAAATAAACGTCCCTTGCCTTGCCTATAATTTCGCCAATAAACCAGGATTAACAACGGAATAAAATAATTGAATCAGTCCTGCAGAATACATTTGATCTGTATTCAGCGAGTTTTGGTGTCACTGACCTGCACCCTGTCCAGCAGCAGGCCGGCCATCACCATGCCCAGCCCGGCCAGCAGGTAGACAGGAAACACCTGGAGACATATGAGCCTGGTCGACTCTCTGGAGGAACTGTGCAGCTTCTCCTCCTCCATCCTGTCAGGACAACTAGAGCTTACATCCTGCTCTGCTCTTTCTGTCCTCGTTCAAAGCAGACTGCTGCCAACTAGAAGAGCCCATTACTGTTTGTCTTTCTTTCTGTCACACTGCCCTGTCTATCTGTTTCCTGGGTCAAAGACAAATACTATCATCTCTGTTAGAGCCAGTATTTTTGATTTTATAAGAAAGGCCACCTAATTGTGACGTCTGTAGTCAACGCACTATAAAGGACTACAATTCCCACGGCGCCTGTGCTAACGCCACAGTGATGGGCAACCTGTTGAGAGACGCCGACGAGGAACAGTTTTAACGTACTCAATCGTACTCGTAACCGTACATACAAACCGTACAAGTACCCTTTAAGTTGTGAAGTTATCAAGAAAGAAAGAATACCTAAGTCGTGTTGTTTTATTTGAGTTTTGCCTATTTCTTTTGAATATTGTAAAGGCCTATTTTTCTTTGTTGCATGTGCAAAAGTTTGTTACTTTATTTTGAGCAAACACATCGCAACATCTTCTAAACCATCGGAGGCCAAGCAACACTTCAAACTGAGTACTTTAAGGAAAGAAACAAGTTAGAACTGTCTGTTTAAGGCGTCTAGTGGCTTGGTGGAAAAACAAGGAAGGAAGCTACGACAATCTCTGTTGATCACTGATATAAATTCAGGATCAGAATGAAAGAGTTGAAATGTAATATTCATAACTGGGCCGTGTTTTCATTTGTGTACACCTACCTGTAACTCAGAAATGTTGTTTTAGTTACCTGAGAACAAGACCTTCGGGGAGAGGGTCCTCTTCTAAGGAGCTTTCCATTAGTCTCCTAAATGACGTTCCCATACGACAAAGATACATTGTTAATCAGGTTTTCAGGGAAATGTATTTTCTAGATTACATTTGTTTTTGATCTGCTACACAAATAGATTTCAAATTGTATTCAGAGGAAATTCAATTACGGAGGAGGTCATTGATGGGTGGGACAAACAAACACAGGACATCTGGGTACCTGGGCAAACCAATACCAATTTATTTTATATGTACGTATGTAACATGCATAACATGACATATGTATTATTTGAAAGACAAACCATGATCTACATAACCATTTATTTGTCTTGTTTCAATATATAACGTTAACTGCTTGTTTAAAACTGTGACTGTAATCTGGGATAAGATTTGTGTCCCTCGTACCCAAATTAGAGAATAGAGTTAAATTGTATCATAACATCATTCTTTTTTAGGACACATGGTTTACATGTTGCTGTTTCTACAGTAGAAAATAAACTCTTAAAGAAAGATAGAAGAAAGTATGTTTAAATTGTGAAACATCCTTGTTAAACGAAATGCACGTTTTAAGTCGTTATTAGCAGTTCAAAAAACTATGTTAAAAAAAAAACACTGACATTGAAAGCTTAATAAAAGAGGAATTTCTACAGCCTAAGTTTGCAGTCCTTCACCACTTGTAGGCCTAATACACTTAAAACATATTGACAAGCAATGACAAGTAGTAACTGAACACACGTCCACACTGCACAGTTGTGGGCTAATTAGCTTAGCGCTAACGTTAGCTGACAGGAATGCTTTGGTATTCGTAAAACATAGCTTTAAAAAAAGGATTATTTCAGGAGAACATAGAAGTTATAGTTGTGAAGTTGTATAATGTCATTCTTATCCACTCTTCTTCATCACCTCTGATTACTTAGAAACTCTTAACAAGCAAGACAAGTAGCTAAACACACTTGCTCTGTTGTAACTAGCTTAGTGCTAACGTTAGCTAATAGTTGCTCTCTTTAGTTCTGCCAAAACATAGCTTTAAAAATGATTATTTCAACAGAAGACAGAGGGCATAGTTGTGAAGTTGTATAAAGCCATTCTTACTCACCTCTACCACCTCATTAATCCAGTTTATTTTTCGACCTTTAACAATGCACCAGGGAAATGCCATGAAATGTTGCACTAGCTAACATATGCTAATTTTGTGATTTGTTGATGGGCAATAAAAAAAAAATTCCTGTACAAAAATAACAAAATGTTACTTAAAATATAAAGTAAAATTATGATATACTATGGAAGCCCATTTCCGCCACTTGAAAAAAATAAAATCCCCATGAAAAGTCATAATTATGAGATAAAAAAGTCTTAATTATGAGATAAAAAGTCATAATAATGAGATAAAAAGTCATAATTATGAGATAAAAAGAGACACTTTGTCACAACAGACAAACTAGCAGCTCTTTGGCTCGAATTCTCCTATTTATCTTGATACGGAAATGGATTGTGAATACATTGAGGACTACTTTAAACGTGGATTTACAACAGATGAAATACTTAATTTGCTTGCTGATTCACATGGAGTTGTACTAAGCAAACGCACCCTTGAAAGGATTTTAAGCAAGAAGCAGCTCTGGCGTCGAAAGAATAAAACCGATGTGGCTGAGGTGGCAACCTTCATTGAACAGCAACTGGAAACATCTGGTCAGTGTCATGGTTACAGATGGATGCACCAAAAATGTTGGTTACATGGAATTGTGACTGACAGAGAAACAGTGCGAATACTGCTACAGTTATTGGATGGTTAAGGTGTTGATCTGAGGTCAAGAAACAGACTGCGAAGGCGCATCTACCACAGCTGTGGTCCAAACTATGTATGGCACATTGATGGTTACGACAAGCTTAAGCCATTTGGAATTGCAATCAGTGGATGCATTGACGGGTTTTCCAGAAAGATGATATGGCTTGAAGCTTACAAAACAAACAAAGACCCGAAGATCATCGCTGGCTACTTTATTGATGCTGTTATCAATGCTGGTGGGTGCCCTGCCAGACTCAGACTTGATTTAGGAACAGAAAATGGCCATATGGCTGAAATGCAGCAGTTTTTGCATTTTTCTGAGAACCAAGCTGAAACAGACAATGTAACCTTTGGTCCAAGCACTGGAAACCAACGTATTGAACGATGGTGGCTGACCTTGCGAAGTGAGTGTGTCCAGTTTTGGATGGACCTTTTTGACAAACTGAGTGTAGATGGCTACTTCTCAGACAACTTCTTGGACAAGTCCTTGATCCAGTTCTGCTTTCTACAAATAATACAGGTACTTGTCACATTATGAAATAAATAAATGTTGAATGTGGTGAATATTTTTAAAGAGCCACAAATGACCATGTGTAAAATAGAAATTGCCTGTTTTCCGTGGAGAGAGTGAATAATAAGTTATTGTTTCTGGCTAACAAAAATATGTGGGTATTCAGAGTAGCTGTGTCAAATAAGTAGGGTTTATTTTCGGGTTTATCCACCACATTTTTATAGCTGTTAAGATATAACATTAGTTGCACTGCTGCAATTTACATTTTACAGTTATTAATATGATTGTGCCAACCTACCATAGTACAACTAGAAGACACATCTCACAAATATAACAAACCATGGGTCAGGAGTATACTTGACTAAGGCAGTAATCACCACTGCCCAGTATTTTTATACATTCTATTTGACTGAATATTATTTGCCTCCGAGGAAGAACTTAATGAGGTTGTATTGACTTGGAACAATCACAGAGTCCGTCAAGTCCATAACTCACGATCACCCCATGGACGTCCCTCCATATTGCATGCAGTCCCTCATCTGTATGGAGGCAGAGATTGTTTGCACCACGTGGACCTGGAGAAAGTTCAAGTCTGTCTTGATGAGTGTGTGTTCAAGGACTTCCCATGTGATGAAGATGTGTTCCATATCTGTGTGGATCTAATGTCAGAGTATAATCTGAAATTAACAAATGATGTGTTTGAAACTGTTAACCTGTATATCACACTCAGACAACTGATGAACAATGAACTGGATCATTAACTTTCCTGGGGCAGTGTCACAATTTATATTTCAGAAATGTGTATTTGTTTCCTGTTTCATTCCAGAACAAATTGAAATATATATACTGATTGCAATTGTCAGAATTATGATATACTTTAACCTGTGATGAATGAAAATATAATTGTAGCTGTTTGAGACACGTCAAATATGTACCAAATATTCTCAGTACATATATTTGTATGTACACACAAACAAAGTCATGTGTTGCCCTTAGATTGACTATGTGTAAAAACAGGATACAAATGCAAAATACACACATGTATTAATATAATTATTTATTCAATTATTTAAACAGATAGCATACAAAATTGCTGTTTTCATTCATGCTCCATTTATCTGAATCCAACCAATCAGCTGGCAGACTTCAATAAACCTCTGAAATCAAAATTGCTGTTTTCATTTTGACTGCATTTTAATCTAACTTGCTACAGTATCAGCAGTACGAGAGGTGAATTATGTCCAATAACGTGTCACCACACTATAAACTATACTCCAAATTCTCCAACTAAGGAGGAAGGGGAGCATTATTTCATTTTATTAGATTTTATTGATCTTGTAATACTTAAAATAGGACTCTTGGTTAAGTGTGTGTGTGTGTGTGTGTGTGTGTGTGTGTGTGTGTGTGTGTGTGTGTGTGTGTGTGTGTGTGTGTGTGTGTGTGTGTGTGCGTGCGTGTGTGTGCATGTGCATGTGCATGGTGCGAGAGTGAGCGAGCGTTTTTATGTTTCTGGAAGTAAAACGAAGCAGCAGAAAATATAGGTCTGTGAAGTATTTTGTGTAACAAGAAGAACTAAACAAATGCAACGGCCTCTCTCCAGTCATTTCGATATTATTGAACCTGAAGCTTGTTGCTTCGGCCCTGGGAGACCACAGAGTAATCCCCTGTTTCCTCGACTACGGTCTGGGAGCCGACAGGAAAGTTCAACACATGCATAATGAATGCTATCCATGCTATCTGACTGTACCACTTCGGTTTGGTGATGTTACTGAATAATCGCTATGGCATTAGCATTTCCCCCAGAATAGCAAACTGAAAAGCGATAAAGAACGACAGTGCAATGTACAATTAACGCATGACTTTTTAACCACTGCGTTACATGTACTGTAGGCTACTATAATTAGTGGTGTATGTACCGTAGCTGAGATAACATTTACGGGTTAGTTAGGCTAGCAGCAGCAGTATGCCTACACTATTGTCATTAGTGGCGTGAACGTTACCACAAAACTATAGGCATAGGCATATTATAGTTCATAACAGGTAATGTCAAAGCTATGAACTGCATTGTTGTAGTTTAGCTGCAATATAGGCTATATAACATCTAACATTTACAAAAGTCACCTTATTTAGGACTAGATGCCGTTTGCATGGTGGAGAGCAGCAAGGTGATGAAGGGACCTTTGAAGACAGCGCCACTGCAGCGCATGCGCACTTCTTATCTCATAATTATGACTTTTTATCTCATTATTTCGACTTTCTTATCTCATAATTATGACTTTTTATCTCATTATTATGACTTTTTATCTCATAATTTCGACTTTTTTATCTCATAATTATGACTTTTCATGGGGATTTTATTTTTTTCAAGTGGCGGAAATGGGCTTCCATAGGCTTCCATACTATACACTATTTTGAGTGTGATTAATTTGCTGAAAAGAGACAAAACACACAATGACAAAGACATTGTTTACTAATAGCATTGGTTTTTTATTTTCTTCACAATATCCTTGTTTTTTTGGCCATACAGTCCACATTTTGGACTAGATAAATTAAAAAGTATTTGTGTCAAATGTGATGCATTATTTTCATCTCAGTACAATAAGTGACCTCTTTCATTTTAGTCCTTAGTCAATATCAACATTTTCAAATACACCATTTAAAACATGTGTATTTCATTCCTAGAAGCCAATGAGACAAAGTGGTACATCTCCAATTATATCAACGATACAATTTCATGCAAAACACTTAAACATTACCATACAGTGACATGATATTAAAACACCTATCCTCATTTTAGAGAGGTAGTCTAGCTAGCTTTATTTCCTGGCTAGTCTGACACTTGGTTTGGGGTGAAGGTAACTATAAAGAAGAACAGAGACACAAGCTATAAATATTCACTCTACACCTCCCAGCCCCAGTTAAGGTCTCATGTTATATGTCAAAGGCTGAGTTCAAAGAGGGGCTGCCATCACCGTTTGGTGTTCGGAACAAGTTTAGTCCCTGATGGCTTCGTAGGCAAGGTTCAGTTGTCTTCTAACTACATTATCTGCTGTCTGTGGTTTGCAATAGCTTCATTTTTGTTTACTCTAGTGTTTGTGTGTTTGGTTTCCTATGGAGTGTTGCTGGCATTTGCTGGCAGAGGCAAGCTATCCGTCATCTGCTGGCAGTTGGGTTCTTAACAACTTGGCTTTCGGACTGTGAACAAGGTCAATGCAAGAGGCAGGCTGAACAACACAACACAAGAAGTCTCTGCTGAACGAGGTAACCGGTTTGGTGCATTTTGATACATACATGCAGAAATGATTGTATTGTTTTATATTTTAAAACGTTTGACTGTTGTTAGTGTCAAATTATTGCAGTTTTGTCAAGAAAACTGGCGATCGTAGAATTATTTTTGCATGTTCTGTTTGAAAAGCGTATGATATGGTTTTACATTGACTTCTTTGTTTGCTCAAGGGATGTTCAATTTGACGAAAATGCCCAGTTCTGGTGATAAGAGTAGGATCCAGTCCCAATTCACCAGTGGCTCCAACGACATATGCGCCAAGAGAAATGTCACGATTCGTCTTCGGGACATTTACGATCCCAAGCCTTCTCCCAAAGCTCCGGTTCGGATTCGCCCTCCAGGTCCAAGACCTCCATCAGTGAAGGAACTCAATTTAAAGCAAAGCTCGGCAGGTGATCCTCCAACCAAGACCATCATGAGGAGGCGAGCTCAGTCTCTTCCTTCCTCTGCAGGAAGGAAAAAGGAAATTCGAAGCCTGCAGGTACGCTTTGTTGACTCTTTGGGCCTCGAGTTAGAGGATGTTAAAGTCTTCAAAGTTCAAGAGGAGCCACTGATACCCCAACATGTCATGTTCAGACTACTGATGAGCTCAGAGCTGGCTTTCGGGAAGTCATTAGAACTTTCTCTGCCTTACTTCAAACCTTGTTTCCCTGAAGATATGAGCACTCAAGCTGACTTTTATAACCGTCTTTGCTCTCAGAGTGTGTGTCTGGAGCAGGTTTCATGTTCAGAGCAGGGGATAACAGGCACTATACAAGTAATTAATTTAGCTTATGAGAAGGAAGTCACAGTGCAATACTCTTTCACCAACTGGAGAACACACACAGACACAACGGCAACCTGGGTGTCAAGCGGGAACCATGAGAAACACAAAGCTCCAGAAAACGATATCTTCAGATTTCGTCTGCCTGTCCCACCCTTTATTTTGCAGCCAGGAGCCATGTTAGAATTTGCCATCTGCTACCGTGTTAAAGGACGTAATCATTGGGACAATAACAATGGACATAATTACAAACTGTCCTGCCACAGTTACAACGTGACTGTGCCGAGGGAGTGTGAAGACAGCATGCTGCATTTCACCTGAACATCCACATGGTGGTGCTGTTACACCTGCACATAAATACTATGGGGGAGAGAACAAGCAAAACAACTTTACAGTAACTACGTTTCCCTTTACTTTTAACAAGCAGAGGTGAAATGTCATTTTGAAAATGTAGTACACCTTTTCAGTACTTTTCCACTTTATACTGTATTTTTATTTCACTATAGTTCAGAGGCATGTATTGCACTTTCTCTACATTATCAGTGAACAACTGTGATTACATTTCAGATTAACATGTATGGTCAGTTTAAACAACAATGTAACTACAGTAAATGCGTAACAACCTAATGTATAACACAGCTTAAATTATGCTTACATCTTATAGTGGATAACGATATTACACTGACCTGTTGCATAATACTTGTAATCCAGTATTGTGTTTACTTTAGCCAAGGATTTAGTACTAGATGTTCTATCCGTGATCAACTTGAATTGACAATAGTAGTTGCAGAGGGTCATTAGGTGACATTTGAATATACTTCTAAAACTAATTACACAACTTTTTTAAAAAAATGCATCTACAAGAAAATTAACAGTGGTTTTACGATCAAGTAAATTCTATTCTTAATTACAAATCTGCATCTTATAGATTATTGAAGTTTGATATAATACATTGGTGTTCATAATGTGAAATATAAAAACTTGTCAGCTTCCCTACATGTTTGTACTTCAGCCATAGGGGTGTGCCAACAAGTCATGCATTTAGCACTTCCACTATAGGCAAAACATACCACTAAGCTGGGGACTGGGTAATATTTAGAGAAATTAACTCTTTTATAATCATCAACGATTTAATTATTAAACCATTAATTTACAGGAAAAAGAAAGAAATTCTAACATCATTATGAAAGGGAACCACAATGTTGCACAAGTTCCCAAAATGTAGCTCAAAAGCAACACCCTTTTGGTTTATAACGCTGGCTTTCTGATTACATTTGAACATCTCTAGCCGGAGCCGAGATAACCCCTTTATAAAAATGAGAGTATTTATGTTCTCCTACTGGGCTTTTATTCAGATTAAATCTCTGCCACCTTTGAGAATCTGCTCACTCTGCACTTCTGGTGACCCACTTTCATAATAGACAGTGTTATTATTGTTGTATCTTAATAGCAAGTTTTCTCCAGGTGACAAAACCTATTTTTTCATACATAGAAACAACTTTGTAGTCACTGTATTCTCTGCTATGAACAAGGCTTGACCCCATTCTTCTGGAGCTGGTTTTGTTTTTGGAGGATTACAGTGTTTGCTCCTCTGTTACACTGCGACCCGCTCCCTCAGATCCCCGACAGCGCTGACCTTTCAACAAAAAAGTTTCCACTGACATGAGAGGCCAGATTCCTTTTGACTTTTTGGCAGCAGTGTTTGGCTCATGGGAGGACATTCTTCCAGTAGCATGCCGCGGCTGGATGGCATGCTTTAAACATGATCGCAGCTTCTGAACAGCCAAAACATTACTGCGCATGACGAGACTCTTAAAAAAATCTGTGAAAAGGCAGGCACAGAAGTTGAACATTGCTGAAATGTAAATAAACATGTCTGTATATAAATGAAGCTATATCTGACCAATGAGTTGAGAGATTTAAATTATGCATAATGGCTATTTAATTCTATTGGCTTTTATTTTGTAATATTGACAGAAACTAAAGAAGATAGATTGATTTTGTGGCTTTATTGTAATGGTATAGTGTTCAATTTTGATACACTAGATGGCACTATTACTCAAATATAAGTTCCTACAGTAACTCGACTTGAGTCACAATGAGAGGAGTCCACATATTTGCTAAGAGTGAAAACCATAAAGCTAATTCAGGCATATAGATTCACATTAAAGTATTAGCATACAGAACAGTACAGCTGACAGAGAAGAGATACAATGTGCAACAAACACTATATCAGGGGTGTCAAACTCAAGGCCCAGGGGCCAAATCTAGCCCGTGACTTCATTTTATGTGGCCCGCAAGAGCCTGCAAATAATATAATACGTTTATTATACGGTTAAATGCCACTTTACAGAAGCAGGTTGCCCATAAACTACATGTCCCATAATGCATCTTGTTTTGTGACATGCGCACTGAAGAGAGTTGCAAATATTTGCCCTGGACTTCTGCTTTCAGACGTAGTTAATTACTAAGTTATCCAATTCAGAGGCTATAATGTAATATATTATTTTATATATATATTATATATTCATATAGTTACAACCGGCTCTTTAAGTGCAACCATAATGCTAATGTGGCCGAGATGAAATTGAGTTTGACACCCCTGCACTATATGCTCCAAATGTCAGAAACATAACAATATGGTAACGTCTTTTGTTTCTGTATCTGTAAGGGAACACCGTTTTTAAAATTACATACTCCCATTACATGTAACTCTCTTCCTGGTCACAGCCACAAGAAGACCTGTCGACGTGTCCTTTGTCCATTGTTTGTCCTGAACCTGTGACAGTGGACAAACATCCCCTCTTCGTGCCGGGCTGACTGTGTGTCATCGCTCTGGGACAGATCTCGTTTGTTAGGATGTTCCTCACTAACGGAGATGGCTGTCATGTCAGTGTGTTGTTGGCTCACACACCCATCCTCATGCCTTTATTTGGGGCTTTCATCTCCAGCTACTTGCTGGTATTACATAACAGGCCTCCATATTAAGAGCCCACATGATGCTGATTCTGCCGTTTGCTAGGGAGACTGGCCTGGATTTAAATATAAAAATATTTGTGATTATTGTGATCACAGCTACATGTTTAAAGAGGACATATTCTGCTAATTCTCAGGATCATATTTGTATTTCGCTCCTCTACTGGGACATGTCTCCCTGCTTTAATGTTCAAAAAGCTCTTTATTTTTTCTCATACTGCCTGTGCTGCAGCACCTCTTTTCACCCTCTGTCTGAAACCAGAGCCCAGTCTGCTCTGATTGGTTAGCCTATGACGTGCAATGGTCCAATAGAAGCGCAAGTTTTATATGGTGATGTCACTATGTTCCTGAAGTAATACAATACTGTCATTGATAACAGCATCAAAAGTTATTGTAGCACACTAGCATTAGTGCTGTAAAAAAAAAGTGAAAACGAAATATTATAGTCCTCTATGGATTTTTTTCTTCATCATACAAACATAAACGTTTTTATGTGGCATTAAAAACATCTTAAGATTTAATTGGGGTGAAACCTTGCAGAACCCTTTTCCGTCGCAATCAATTAAATATATATAAATATATAAAATGACTTACTACTACTACCGAAATACAAATATAGTCATTGGAAAAATGTTTTCTACTCTAACTGTATAGGTTAGTTGAGAGCAACCTATTTAAACTTCAGTGCAGGAATATATGGAAAAAAAGCCAATGGAGTGTGGACTGCTACTTGGAGAGGTCCTAGTTCACCTCCTGCCCTGCCGCGGTGCCCTTGAGCAAGGCACCGGACACCCCCCTTCCCCCCTCACTCCCATTGCTCCCCGGGCGCTGTACAATAGCTGCCCACTGCTCCTGGTACTAGACTCCTGGTGCTAGGATGGGTTAAATGCAGAGGCCAAATTCCACTGTGTGTGCTGTGTGCTCTGCATGTGAGACCATTGAAGAGGGTTTCATCCCTCCCAATTCTATTCTTCTGGAGCTGGTTCTGTTTTTGGAGGAGGATTTTATATATTTGTATCACTATGAGGAAATTGAAGTACATCTTAAAGGACAGAGAACCAGAATCCATTGGTCGATGTGATTGCTCTCATATCCCATAATTGAAGTCGTTGATTGATGATGTGACGCGATGTATAATCCAAAGGCTAAATTTGGCTACGGCTAAATTTGAACCAGAAAACCATCACGCGTACAGTTGGCAACATCTCCTCAACATATGTTAAGTGTGTGTGTGTGTGTGTTTACCGTTGGCCCTCACCAGCTAAGGGAAGTCAGGATATCCCTCAGGAGTCTCCCTGGTTCCTCCCACACTGCTCCACAGGTTTATTATCCGCCATTTCTCTGGACCAGTAGCTGCTCGTCTTTTTTACTCCGGACAGCGAGCGGTCCTGGACCAAAGCGTCATTTTAACTGGAGCCACCATCTGTTCCTCCATGGAGCCACCATCTGTTCCTCCATGGAGCCAGTGACTCACATGATGTCGCGAAAGAAATCTGAAAATCTGAACGTGCCTGATGGAGATGTGCCAGGGTTGTAAGTCCTTTTTTTCCCATATGTAATATCAGGTAAAAGGTTTCTCTCTTTTGAAATAGGCTTTTTAATGATGTGGATGTGACTTAACAGTGAGTCAGATCCAATGATTGTTTCCTTCCTTTTTCTTCCTCCACTGCAGCTTTTAAGATCTCATTGCAAATTGGACGAATGCAGTCAGGTTGACTTTCTTTTCATGAGTTGATTTAACTAACCTGCGTAATGCCCAACAAAGGATGCCTGTTCTCATTCGTCAGAGAGAAATACACAGCAGGTCAATAACCTAATTGCTGCTTAATGTCATGCAACAAAGTAATCACCACAACTGTGTCATCCGCTTGCTTAAGTATGACATATGATAGGATAGATCTGAAGGGATTATGACCTTTTTATGAGGTGTAGGCGGCAATTATCACCCTAATAATGACTTTCTTTTTTAAATATCACACGTTTCTGTTATGCCATGATATTAAAGGTGACGTACTATAATGATTTTCTGGTTCATACTTGTATATGAGGTTCCTACTAGAGTATTTTCACATGCTTTATTCGTCTCATAATGTATGTTTGAATATCCCTGTATTCCCAATCTGTCTGAAATACTTCGTTTGAATGCAATCTTTTTAAGCCACTCCTTACAAAAAAATCCAAGTTTGCTTTGATTGGCTGACAAGAGAAATAAGACACAACGTAGTTTTCAAGACATTTGGGGGAGATACTCCAATAGAGGGCCATATATTCTAAAAAGCCTGTGACGTAGGAAAGTGATCCAAATCTGAATGGCTTGTTGAATTGCATGTTTTCAGATCTGCAGTCCCAAAAGAAACCAGAGCTGTCATCTTATTTCAGTTTGTGGGCTTGTAGTTTCTCCAGATTCCCAAATGTATGCTCACAAACACTGAAAAACATCGTGCTTTGGATTAAAGAGTGGAAACCGCTTCACAGATCTTATCTATCCATGTCAAATGGATCACTATATGCGATGATTATTAAACTGTTTGTTTAAATCATGGTTTCTCATGCCGATTATCACCAATTTGTCTTTTGTATATTTAATACGTGCCTTTTCCCCTCAACAAGAGCCCACTTGGTTTGAGGCTTTGCTGATTTTTGCCCAGCTCTACGATCACATAACATGAACAGCGCCGGGGCTACACACTTATCTGACTAATAGCTGGATTTCTGAGTGCAGAGTTATCCTTAAGGGTAAACCCTACTTCAAAAAGTAGCCTACGTAAAACAAGAAGTTTTGCTGCTTTACGATGGGTTGTTTTTTGGTAAATTGCTTTTCCCACATCATGATTTTAATGTGAACACAGCAGCAGCCTCAGGTAGAGAGCTGTAAAGCAGACGGGTTATTTAAAGGCAATAAAGTGTATGGATAATATAAGGACTGTAGTTTTAAAGATGTTTCCCAAATGTTTTCATATGTGAAGAGATAGGCAAATAGTTGAATAGCATTTGAATGGGAAGGATGCTGTCAATAAAGGCAGTTTCAACAGTACATCCCTTTTAAAAAGATTTAAAAAACACCATAATCCCACAAATATTCACCACACAAGACGGAGAGTTTGTTAGAAATTGAAAACCTGTATTGTGCAGACAATAAATAGTGCTTACAAAGGGAATTCTGTCTTTCACACAGACAAGGTTTGTGTTTACACCGTTGATATGAAACGCATCACCATCTGAATCAGTGGGACTCACACACATCTCTCGGGTGTGACTACTGAAACTGGAGCGGGACTGGGAGTCGACTGTCACATGCACATCCCCCCCTTCGTGTGGCATCAAAAAGAACGTCTTTCAAAAGTTTACAAAAAGAAGTCTCTGCTTGTCTATGGCGAACGCCTCGCTCCTCTGACAACATGGAGGACGGGTTCAGGAGGTTTTGTCTTCTGAGCAGAAATCCCCGCGGAACCGGCAGCTCCGTTTCTAGAGACATAGCCTCCAAAGTTGGCTGGAAACGAATCCCAGGATCGCCCACTAACTGCGGGCCGGGCGCTGGAAGACTGCATCTCCACTGACAGAACCACACATCAGCAACTCTTCACAGAAGAAACCTTGCTATGGCCGGTGAAATCTGCAAAAAAAGAGGGTAAAAAGTGTGAGTGTGAGGATGAAATATTCACACAGTAAGGCTTCATCAATCAAAAGGTCTATTAATAGCGCAGCGGACAGTGCAGCAAATGGCCTTAAGTCAAAAAAAGGGTCCTGCGTAAGCACAACCGAGGCTAATTCAGGTTTCTTTTTTAGCTGGTGACACTTTTGACGAAAGCAAAACGCAAGCTAAATATATCCGGACATTCATTATAGTTGAGAGGTGGTGCAACTCTCGTCTCAAGGGGCCTGGTGGCAGCTATATTTAAGCCCTGCTCTGCACCCATTGATGTGAAACTTGTAAAATGCACCTTTGTGTCATTTCACAAAGTCACAGCGACCCTTTTAGACATCAGCCAGAAAAGAGAAGAAAAGGACAGTAATAACCCACCTCGTCAGATGCTTGCTCGAGGTGTGGACTTCCATCTCGGTACTTTTGAACTCGTTCAGCTCCTTTCGTATCGCCGCCTGTAACAAAAAAGCAACATGAAGCGTGAGCACAGGTGGGAGAAGAACTATGATGCTTTATTAAAGTACAAGAAGAACAGTTTGGTCTTAATATATCAGTATGTAGTGTCTCTACTTTAAAGAGTCCTCTCCTGCTAATGTTCAGGTGTATATCAGTATGTAGTGTCTCTACTTTAAAGAGTCCTCTCCTGCTGATGTTCAGGTGTATATCAGTCTGTAGTGTCTCTACTTTAAAGAGTCCTCTCCTGCTGATGTTCAGGTGTATATCAGTATGTGGTGTCTCTACTTTAAAGAGTCCTCTCCTGCTGATGTTCAGGTGTAGATCAGTATGTAGTGTCTCTACTTTAAAGAGTCCTCTCCTGCTGATGTTCAGGTGTATATCAGTATGTAGTGTCTCTACTTTAAAGAGTCCTCTCCTGCTAATGTTCAGGTGTATATCAGTATGTAGTGTCTCTACTTTAAAGAGTCCTCTCCTGCTGATGTTCAGGTGTATATCAGTATGTAGTGTCTCTACTTTAAAGAGTCCTCTCCTGCTGATGTTCAGGTGTATATCAGTATGTAGTGTCTCTACTTTAAAGAGTCCTCTCCTGCTGGTGTTCAGGTGTATATCAGTATGTAGTGTCTCTACTTTAAAGAGTCCTCTCCTGCTGATGTTCAGGTGTATATCAGTATGTGGTGTCTCTACTTTAAAGAGTCCTCTCCTGCTGATGTTCAGGTGTGTATCAGTATGTAGTGTCTCTACTTTAAAGAGTCCTCTCCTGCTGATGTTCAGGTGTATATCAGTATATAGTGTCTCTACTTTAAAGAGTCCTCTCCTGCTGATGTTCAGGTGTATATCAGTATGTAGTGTCTCTACATGTCTCCCTGCTCTAATGTTCAAAAAGCTCTTTATGTTTCTCATACTGCCTGTGCTGCAGCACCTCTTTTCACCCTCTGTCTGAAACCAGAGCCCAGTCTGCTCTGATTGGTTAGCTGGCCGGCTCTGTTGTGATTGGTCAACCGCTTAGAGATGTATCGCCCCTTAGCCAATCACGTACAATGTGTTGGAGCGCTAGCCAATAGAAGCGCAAGTGTAACGTATTGATGTCACAATGTTATTATTATCAGAAGTAATAGGTAGTTTTCAGTGTGGAGACAGTTTTAGACAAAATATTGGGTTGAAAGGTAGTAAAGTACTGTCATGTCATATAAGCACGTCATGTAATTTGATATGTAAACATGTAACTATGAGTGTTAAATAAATGTAGTGGGGTAGAAGTATAAAGTAGCATCAAATGGAAAATTAAAGGACAATAAAAGGACAATTATGTCAAATAATACGTAAGAATGGTCTTTGAGTAAATGTACTTTACAACACTGAGCACAGGTGTTTCCCTTCGAACAGACGTGATATCACTCAGGTGGTGAAGCTCGCACCGGACTGGAGAAGCATCTGTTGTTTAGGTGCACATTATGTTAGCTTTAATGGGTTTAACGTCAAAGACAAGGTGGTGCTGGAGGTTTTATAGAAAGGGTTTCTGCAGGGTTGTCCAAAGAGGTTTTAAGACTTTTTATAACCATATTGGAAGCAATTTACTACTTGGTTTATGATCATTTGAACATATATGTGAGATCCTGAGCACATATGATTATAAAACCAACTAGCTTATTTTGGCAGTACCTGTGCCTCACACTAGGTGGCACTGTGAGTCCCACTGTTAACATTTTGTATTATTATATGGTTTTATTGTCATATGCACAAAGCTACAGTGTAGAATTGGCAATGAAAATCTTATGACCTGAGCTCCTCCAACAATGCAACATATATAATAAAATTTAAAAAACGAAATAAAAAGTAGTGCAAAAAGTCTATATACAGAGATGCATAAGACTTTGTATGACCTGCAGACACAGGTAAACGTCACAAACAAACCAAAAAGTCAGCATATGGACCCCGAATATACATGTTGTACTACTTTTAATATCTAACAGGCTTTGTTTCTTACCTTGTCAGAGGCGGACAGGCGGGTCCAGGGTTTGTCGGCCCGCCTGTCGTAGTCCTGAGCTTTTGCCACTTCCACATAGTCGCTGAATCGGATCAGGATCTTCCTGTCCCGCAGCTCGTCTACTGTGGGTCTCTGGTTCAGCTGGAAGACAAAGGAAATGTCAGATCTCATTATCTTATCAAAGCAAACGGCCACAAACGAGACTGGGCTGGGCAATATCATTGTAATGTAAACTATCTGTAGGTATTTAAACCTTTTGGTCGACTTTTAAAGACGTTACATTTGGCTCGGTCAAGCTTGGAATTTTTTTTATAGACCAACCGACAATCAATTACTTTTTTATTATAATTAAGTTGCCTTTTTCCACTTATTATTTGCTTTAGACATTGTAAAGCCCCCTTAGACGATCATTTGTGTGAGTCATTTCTCATATTGGGCTTTATACAGTAAACATGGTTGAATTTGACATTTAAAGAAATCAGATTATTTAGTGAAAGCATCAAAGTCTACACTATTATCAAAATATCAATAATCGAGATAATTGGTCAATGAGATTGTGAACTAAGATTTCTTTCATAATGCCCACCCTTACAAAGAGATTGGTGGTAGAAATGACAGCAGAAGCAGGTTGGGTATGAAGCGTCTGTTTTTAATGTGAGAGCACATCGACATATAATGTCCGTGCCGCTGCTCACCTTTCTGTTGAGCCGCTGTTTGATTTCTCTCCTCTCCTCCTGCTCTGTCTGGTCATTTCTTTCTGTTGACGCAAAAAAAAAGACAAATATTATAACAAAAAGTCAGAAGAAAATGAGTTAATTAAATCAATACACAATCCCCAATGGTTATTGAAAGAGACTAGACAGTAGATGAAGTCTGCACAGATAATGCGTGTGACTCTTCTCATCAATACTCAGAGTGAAGAAGTGCTGAGGACAGAACTGACCTCAGATCAGTGCTGAATGTGTGTTAGAGAGCGGGTGGATTACAGCTTCTATAGAGTGGTGCAGGAATGAGTCCTTAAACCAGGACATTAGTTACAACTTCTGGTTCCCTCGTCTCAAAGTGTTTTTAGATGCCTGAAATAAGGTCTGCGGTTTAGATAAATGTAAGAATGTTTAATGTCTTGTTCTACCCCTGGTATGAACCGGTGAAAGTCCAGATTCTCCGTATCAGAAAAAAACGGCCATTGCTAACAAGTGACAAAACAAACGACTTAACGTCATCACGCTGAACATTAGCCACCTTTAGCTTAGCGGTTGTGACGTGAAGTCATGTGACTTTTTAGAGACTGCAAAAAAAGTGGTGTTAATATGTGGAGATTATTCTGCTGAAGTAAACATGTAAACATCACAAACTATTTTTTACCACAGAGTTTAATTTGCGCAATTTTCTGAAATCCAATGGACAAAATCTCATTGTTTTTTTGTCGAGGGAGCCCTTGCGATGCTAACTTCGGAGTCGGCCTACAAATATGTCATTGTTGCACCACTCTATAGGATTAATCTTTATTAAATACAGCAGAAATATCTCTAGAGCAGTGATTCTAAAATGGGGGTACGCGGACCCCTAGGGGTACGTTGGGGTACTGCAGGGGGTACGTGAGATTTAAAAAAAAAAAAAAATACCATGCATGATTACAAAAAGAATCTTAGTACAATAAGTTAAATAGAAAACACAATTTTATATAAAATATTCCTAGAACCTCATATAAACATGTTAAATTGGTGTATTGTATTTTATAGTTTTGCATAATATATCATTTTGTTCATTGGTTTGTTAAACAGATATTACTTCAGTTGAAAAACTCCTTTGAAAAATCAGTTTAAATTGTTTTTCTTTTTTCATGCATACAATGAAAATATCCTTAGTTTGTTGTAATGCATGAAGGAGTTAATACATCACACACTGAGGGAACATCACTCTATTGGAATTATCTGTATAGGCTTTTTCGATCAAACATTTTCGGGGTCGGTCAGGGGGTACTTGGCATGAGAAAATGTTTCAAAGGGGGAACATGACTGAAAAAAGTTTGAGAAGCACTGCTCTAGAGGCCACTTCACTTATTCTTAAATCGCGCTCTTGTTTTCATTCCTGTAAACATGTTGATCTTGTTTGTTAGCTTTAAACGAGTCTGGCACCAAATGACCAAATATCTTTTAATGAAGGTGTTTCTGGTGAGGACACTGAGTGAATGCATGTGTCACTCAGTCAGTTCAGCCTGAACACATGTCGCTGTGCAGAGACGCTGAGAGACGGACAGCTGAGATCACGGCTGAGTCATTATAGTTCTGTATCAGGAACTAGATGCTCCTTCGATTCATCTGTTTTGTTATTTTCTCTTCATAGCATTTTCAAGCACCTTGAGATGACGTTGTTTTTAAAGTGTGCTATGAAATGTACTGGCTTTTAATACTAGTTGAACATTAAATTTTTATATTTGTATGTGTTTTTTATTTATTTATTTTGTATATGTTTCTAGTTATTGTGCTTTTTATTATGTTTTTAATTCTCCCATTGTGTTATTTAATATTGTAGTTACTGCCTGTACAGCACTTTGGTCAACTGAAGGTTGTTTTAAATGTGCTATATAAATAAATAAAGATTGAGATTGAAATGTATTAGGACTGCTTTCATAGTTAGAAGTGTTACGATCCGACACCTCCTGACACAAGTGGAGCTTTTCTCCTGAATACAACAGTATGAATGATTAAAGACTTTAGAGCTCAAATGATTCGTCGATTATCAGAAAACGTTTTGTCATATTTGATAAATGTTGTCGTTTTTCAAACAGAAAAAGTGGAAATAGCGAACATGTATTACATATTCTCTAATTTCAGCTTCAATATGAGAATATTGTGTGCTTTAATTTGTTATAATATCAATATAAAGTTAATTATCTTTGGTATTTGGACTTTAGGTCGTCCTTTGAAGACCTTTCTTTGTTTTGATTAAATACAAAAATATTAAAATAACTTATAACTTGGACTACAGTCAAGTACCAAGTTTCAATGAAAACAGTAGAGGACAATGATGTGGTTACAAATGGATCGTTTTTTAATCTTTTTCTTGCAAATATATAAGAAAATAATTGTATTGATAATTAATCTGCTGATATTTCTTAATTGATTCATACATTTAGAAAATACAAATTAAACTCACAATCAAAGCAATGATATGGAGATCTAACTGCTCTTGTGTTGTTGTTGTTGTTGTTGTTTTCATTAAAACTTCTTAAACTAAAGCAGTGGACATCCATTCAGCCCCCATCACAGTCACTAAAAGATATTAAAGTGTAACCATGTTTTCTTAAAACGGAGAAACGTCCATATCAAGTAAAATCATGCCCACGTTTTCAAAATAAAAGCATATATTTTGGACATAAACACACGTATTTTTCAAAATAAACACACACAAGACGTCCCATTACGAGATGTGTACACAAACAGACAATTGTGCTGTCATGGGAGAAAAACGTAATGATAGTAATTGTTGGATAATGACATATAAAGCTCCATCTCTTACGCTTTAAGATGTTCCGGCTCTCCAGCTCCTCCACGGCCGGCCTCTGGCTCAGTCTCCTGCGGAAGAACACCAGAATTACGTTCTGGACCATCTCTCCCTCCTGGACCTCCTGTATCCAACACCCCCTCCTCGGCACAAAGTCCTTTCCCCGACTAATACTAAAAGCACTTCGGGAACTTAACCCGCTGTCCAGAGCACCAAATCCCGCACATCCAAAGCGCAAACACCGCGTCCCAACTGGAGTCCAAACTAGTTCTGCTATAATGACATTGAAAGCTCCATATCGGGAAATAAAAGTCCGGTTGCGCGCTTAATATCGCGCCGCAGACAGAGCCAGTTTGGTGAAGAACAGAGGAAGAGTTTCCCTCGGATGCGGAGTTTAGATAGAGATGTAGTCCCGGTGGAGAGTGGAGGATGCTGCGCTGAGACAGAGGAGCGGTGAGTGGCGCGGGAGAACCGCCTGCCTGCTTTAAACACCATGAGCAACACACTCATGTGAGGGGGAGGGACTGAGAGGGAGATCCCGGTGCTCACACACACACGCACGCACGCATAAATGCACACACACCTGCTGCAGCAAAGGAGAGCTGTTTTGATTCAACGCTGTTTTATCAGAAAACACAGGAAGGGATGTTGATGGTAGTTTTTTGTCTTATTTGTATTTAACATTCTGTTTTATGATCTATTTTTACATTGTAATTGATGTTAGTCGATCTGTAACACCCCCTAAGACAAATGTGTTTTATGAAAATGTTTACCTTGAATGTGTACTTTGTATATGTCGTATTAATGCATGCTTGCCTCTTTATTTAATATGTTGAATCTACAATGTTGCCTTTTATGTGACTGTTCCTTTGCTCTAACAATATTAAAGGGGCCCAATAAAGCTCATTTTCAGGTTCATATTTATATTTTGTTCTGGGACATGTCTCCATGCTTTAATGTTAAAAAATCTCTTTATTTTTCTACTGCCTGTGCTGCAGCACCTCTTTTCACCCTCTGTCTGAAACCAGAGCCCATGTCTGCTCTGGTTGGTTAACTGGCCAGCTCTGTTGTGATTGGTCAACCGCTTAGAGATATCCCGCCCCTTAGCCTACAATGTGGAAAAGACCCAAAAAGCAGAATTAGACCTCTTTTATTTCCCCACAATGGGACGAAAAAGGATTTATCTTTCTGATTAAATCTAAACTCCCCTTTCCATATTCTACTATTCTCAGTATTGCACATACAGTGTATTAACGCTGTAGTAAACCGAGGATGGTTTCAGAGAAAACAAATATGAAGCAGATACAATATCTCTTATTAGACAACAGAATAGCCGTGATAAGATAATGAGCAGAGAGTTAGCGGATAGCCTTAATATTGGCGGGTATGAACACTGCAATCGATCGTGTCTGTTGTTATTCAAATCTATACATACCAGGACACACACACACACAACACACACACACACACACACACACACACACACACACACACACACACACACACACACACACACAACACACACACACACACACACACACACACACACCCACACACACACACACACACACACACACACACACACACACACACACACACACACACCTGACCTGAATGATGACTCATTGGGTGTTAGAATGCGTGTGATGTATTGAAATGGAAACAAACAGGCTGTTATTTGCATTTGTATTTTCAAGATAACCTGAAGTTGTAGATTCTGCACCCCGCCCCCAACCACACACCCACTGCCACTCAATATGCCTCACAGCTGTCAAAACAGCATCGGATTCCAAAGGGAAACAACTCTCAGATTTCCTCACAGGAGAATATTAATTAAGCTTCATTTGTTCACTTTATCCTACGTTTATTTCACGAAATACTGCCTGAAGAAACGATGAATGTATCCCGTTGTCTTATTCTGTAATAAAAACATTTTCGAGAAATAAAAGTGCTGTTTTTTTACTTTGATTTAAATCACATGGGTTCGAATCACTTTTGGGATATACATATACATACATATATACATACATACATACATACATACATACAGACACACATACATACATACATATATACATACACACATACATACATACATACATAAATACATACACACACACACACATACATACATACATACATACATACATACATACATACATACATACATACATACATACATATACACATACATACATACATACATACATATATATAGTCCTGAACCTGAAGTGGTCAAGATATTTGGGGCTTATCTAATTAGTGTAATGATGCATGTAAATGGTCTGCTAAGGCTAAAATCCCTCTGTTCCCTGCAGAGGGAGTTTCTCTCCGACACATCCCCCCCTGCTCCTTTGTTTTCTTCCAGAACATAGTGACATCAATTTGTAACACTGGCACCATTGGCTAGCGCTCCAACACATTTTTAAACATGAAGCAAGTTCAAATCTCATAGGAGCACACAAGACAAATACAAACATGAAAATGAACATAATAAAGCTCCTTAAAAGTCCTTCTATAGGCATCTAGTCCTACTTTTTATGAAGTTATCTTAAAGTTTTCCTGCAAAAACAAAATGTGTCCCATTTATTTCACTGCAGCGCTTTTCTCAGCAGATTTACACTTGAGATTCCAAGTTGATTCCGGATGGTTACTAATTCCTTTTCTTCATGGCGGTCATATCGCCGGGAACACCATGGTGTTACAAAGTTGACTAAATCATCCAAAATGCAATGAAAGTGGTGATCAGACATTATATATGTTCAAATGTCTCCTGTGAAGGATATCATGAAGCCTTAATGCAATCGAATGTAAAACTAAAAGTTTTGATTGATGAAAGTAAATCGATCGGATTTGACCTGAACACAACAGGAGGGTTAATAAAACAAAATAGTTGAAATGGACGAGTAAACCCATATTGTTGATATACTGCATATTCTCTCATGTTTGGGCTAAATTAATCGTTCTACATCAAATGAATGTACAACTTTTTCTCAATAAATACAGTTTTCTAAATGTAACAAAAGAAAAAGAAGCAGTCTGCAGATGTGACCACGTTTAGATTCACCCACGTAATGTTGAGCTCACGAGTGAAGAACAACCACTCCCTGCATAATCAGGTTAAATAAAGACTCACTTGAGAGAAAAGGTAGAAGCTCTTAATAAAATCCACTTTTCGAATCAACCAGAGAACGGTCGGACCAAGATGTATTCACACTCTTACTGTTGAGATGAACCTCTGATTCACACCAGCGGCAGATATTACCTCAGGTGTTGTTCTGACCAGCGTAGGAGCTTACGCTGCTGACAGGGAAAGAGACATAACACTTATTAGGAACATAGTGTCTTTTTTGGAGCAGGACACCCCCCGAAACCTACGATGTATTGCGGGTGACGGCACGTATCATCTTTAAATAGTCAAAACGATGCCTAAAGTAGGACCTGTCCCCCTGAAATTGCTCTTCCTACGTCTAGTTAGAATAATCGTGACGGGGATTTTACCATCTATGACTTTCAATAGGCTGGATTACTAAACAAAACTATTTATACCGGAACAAGAAATTCAGTTTTCTGACCACTTTTTCTATTCAGGGCTTCAATTTTTAAAGGCATCAACACTATTGCGGGAAAATAATAGTGATAGATAACATTTGTTTTATTTCAAAGGCGAATTTAAAGAGTTAAATTAGAGGACCACAACACTTGGTTGAGGATTAGGAAAGATTATGGCTATGGTACACAACACTCAGCTTCTTAACGTTAATCAAATCAGCCGTAAACCAATAAATACAATGCAGATCAAACCAGTAACAAAACAGAGTTTGATGAGTTCTTGAAGTAGCACGACATCATGGGTACCGTAAGATTTTTACTGTGAGAATAATTATCTGCCTAGTCCTCCTTGTCTCCAAAATAATTGACCAGAATAAAACGATTAAAGAACAATGAATGACGCTATTTTATGTTAAAATAATCAGTGTTTCTCCCCCAGTATACAGCAACAACAAGTTGAGTTACAAGTTAGTTTTCTCTGATAACTTAAGATCCATACGTCTGATGACTAAAATCCTTTATCTGGTTAAAGTATTTAGTTCAAAACGACCAAGAAAGTGTGTTGCAAAACTTGATATCAATTATATTTCTAACAGACAACCAAAAAGACATGTGCAAACGGGATATGAAACGATTACAGGCCACTAAATGAAAAGGACTACCACCTTTATTAAAATGAATGATTTCTATTGGTTAACCCAGGGGTCGGCAACCCGCGGCCCACGGGCCACATGCGGCCCTTTAAGCCCTCTGCTCTGGCTCCCTTGAGCTTAGACAAAAATAAGAAGGAAATAAAATAAAAGTATTTGTAGGACTATTTATATTTTGTTGCATGGTTGAAAATGTTTCGTATCTTGTATTTTGAGGTGATACTGTGACACATAAATAAAAAACAAAACGGTTTTAATTAGGTCAACTAAAATATGTGTCACATCCTGCTACGGTCCCGCGCGAGCGCCTTTTCTTGGAGGCGAATAACCTGACCCCCGGCTCGATGAGCGAACTATGGATCAATCAAAGAAAAGTATCAGAGGAACACAGGATTTAATTATGTGTGGACAGAGTTATCCGCTTTCACAGCAAACGATGCTGGTTTCCCGGTATGTTTGATATGTAGAGAGAAGTTGTCAACGGTGGTGCAGCCTTTACGTATCGAGGAACAACAAGGGAGAGGAAGACAGCTGACGATCTTCAGTCATAATTCAATGGGGTATGTAATTTATTTCAGAAAACACTTTTTGTTATATTCCATGGAATGCTCTTAACGTCCCGATAGCAATGAATATATTAAATGCTTTGACAATAAATACATACAAACATTAATCTCTGGAAGCGTAGCGCTGTAAAAAGCACGACCAATCATCTGAGCCGGCCCGGCTAAAGTAACTGGATGGCCTACCTGCCTGTCAGCCTTCCATCTGGGGTGTGTTGGAGGAGGGACTCTGTAAGAAAGTCTGAAGGAAGAGGCAGATTTTCTCCGGTTGTGTATTTTCAAATTCTAGCGCACTCGAGCTGGTTT